AATTAATTCACAGCTCAATGGACCACAGACAGAGCCATCTGTGTGACTGTTTGTATCTAGCTCCCAGGAGGGGGCAAGAAAATAGGTGTAACACTTGAACAGGTGATGGCGTATCGTCGAGATGGGTCCACCCTGCCATAGCTCAGCGAGTTTTATTCATAAAACATCTGCCAGTGGTAGTAGCCACAGATCTGCGCCGCTTCCCCCTCGGAGCAGTTGTGCAGGATGATTGCGAACCGTCCCTGGCCACAGCTGGGGTGCCAAACCTTTTCATTAGGAAAACAACTGGGGGCCAGAGGGGCTAATTGGACTCCGTTGTTTCATGGCAAACACATTCAGGAACAATGTTTTGTCTGCAGGACCAAGGTAGCAGCTACTGTGAACTCTCGCAATTGGTGAATCGTTCGTATTGGCTCTATATGACAAAGGCAGGTCCCGTCGCTGAAAAGCTTACGTTTATAAATGGACAGCATACCAGCCAAAACATACATACCTTTGTGGGAATAAGCAGCAAGTAATAGCCACTATTAAAGATAGAGTGGAAGATGTCTACTAGCTAGGAGCCAGCCTGGGACAGTGGAGACCTGGGATACATTCCCTGCTCAGCTGTAGACTTCCTGCATGAACCTGGACGAGTCACACAGGGTACGTTCAACACTGCAACTGGCAGGTGTGACTGCAGCATCGGTAGAAATACCCAAGGTCATCTCCCAGGTCCTTTCTAGATCAAAGCTAGCTTGCGCAACAATCTCAGTGACCCTACAGTGGTAGGGTGATGTGTCAACTGTCTTGGGTACACAGTTAAGTGGTCTCTATGGCTTTACTACTATTGTTACCTGAGCCAGCTGGATCACAGCTGTATTGGCTCTGTCCGCGTGTGCAGCAATCACAGTTTCCGATTGCAGCGTAGACATACCGTAAGTCTAAGTTTCCCATCTGAGAAATGAGCTCAGCTACATGGTTACTTACGGGGGCACACCAGAAATCAGTCTTTGGGGGAAAAATGCATGTAGGGAATTAAAAAACTCTCTGAGGGACTGAGAGTATGTCTAGACTACATTTAAAAAAAAACCAAAAAAAAAAAAAACCCTGCCCTTTAAAAAAAAAAAAAAAAAAACCTTTACCTGTGTCCACACTATAATCGTGTTCTTTCAAAATTAAATCGAAAGAATGCAGGGCTTTTTCCAACATTGGTAAACCTCAAATTATGAGAAAGAATGCCTTTTTCAAAAGAGCTCTTTCGAAAAAAAGGCGTGTGTGGATGCAGAACAGGGACATTTTTTGGAAGAAGAGGCAATTGAAAAAAGCACAGATGCCCTGGTGGCTATTCTGTGAATAAGAATCAGGATTTTCTTTTGAGAGAACGTCCATGGATGCTCTCTTTCGAAAAAGCAGATGGCTTTTTCGATCCGGGTTTGGAGCTTTTTCTCTTTCAAAAGTAGCTTGCAGTCTAGACATACCCTGAGAGTGAGGACAGGTTGCCTGAAAGAGATACGAAAAGAATTTTGGCAGCTGTCACAGGATAAATCACCATGAAAATCTAAGGTCAGCTCTCTGATTTGAGACATAGCAAGGTTTGTTAGTTGTAGAAGAGGAATGTAGCAAAGGACTAATAGAGGAAGTCATTCAATGAAATCAACAAAAATGGGTGGCTACGGGGATGTGGTTATGCTTTTCCCAATCTCTAAAACATCGTTTACCAAGGGCAGAGGATACTGGGAAATGTTTTGGGTAACACTTGACCACAACATTTAAAAAAAATAGCAAATTTCATTCTGAGACATTTTGCAGTCCCCAGTTTTGCTTTCCATGAAACACTTGTGAATGGTACTTTTTGCATCGAACCATTTGAAATTTCAAAATGCTGAGTTTCAGGATGAAATGTGAACTTTGCCAACACAAACATTTTAACTTTAAGAAACTTTCAAATACCATAGTGACACACTGTGCCCCCACATTTTTTTAGGGAAATATAGTTTTCAATACGAATATGCATAACTTGAATATGTTTTATGCAAACCTGGGAAAGTAACCTGTCATTAAAGAGCTTGCAATCCTCCAAATGTGCATATTCTGTTTGTGTGTATGTATCATTATTGTATGTGAAGTTACAAATATTAAGTAGAAGCCTGTTTTATTAAGAAAGGTCTTCTTGTGAAAGCTATTAGTGGTACATAAGGAACATAATGGCCTGGTGCTCAAAACAATGATCTGTGAATGTTTTTTTTCCCCTGTAAGCTTACACTGTGATTAGTCCTACAAAAAACATGTGACCTTGCCATCTGGTGTTGGGATCCATCTTGAATTTGGTATTTTTTCAGGTAAGGGGAGGAAAAGAGAATTGAACAAAGGAGTCTCACCCTGGGGAAATTCTATTTAAAGGAAGAGAAACAAACAATGACTGGTTAACTGGCTTTTGAAACGGCCTCCTTTATCTGTGTAAAACTTTTATACCGAGTAAGATGGATTTATTTGGACTTTTGGGCCCTTTTGAGGGCTATGCTTTTGGGTGCTGGCAAATCCCTACAAATTAGCCCTTCTACAGCTCAACTGGGTCAGCATCTGTGTTACTCTGCTGGGGGGCTGTTACCCCAACTCTGTACCTTTGCAGGGGGAGACCAGAGCTTCTGGCCTAGTAGGTAGGGTGTGCCCCAGAGGAGAGGTAGGCAGGCTCAGTGGTATGATCAGCACATTGGAGACAGTCCTAAAGGGATCTCCGGGATCCAACCCATCACACATAGTCCTTGCCAGCCTGGACCAGAATCAAGGTCCAGCTAGTGCCCTTTCTCTATCAATGACCAATAATGGATGCATTAAAAGAAGATACCAGTGCCCTGAAATAGGCAGATATGGGATAGTTGGTCCCCAATATTAGTTCTCACCTTAATCTCCAATTGCTAGAGAGTTACTTAAAGTCTGAAACACAAGGTTTAATAACTCTGCCAAGGTTTGCTGTCTAATTACAACAACATGAGGTATTCCTGATCTCTCGATACATTTCTAGGATGTTTTTCAATCTTGTTAGAGTCTTATCCTCACTGGAAAACTAAAATGAAAAAGATCACTATTAAAGAATATCTGTTCAATGGTGGAAGAGGAAAGGTTTCAGGACTTTCCTTCTTTAAATGTCGGTTCTGAGGATTTTGCTCTTTCTGGTCATTGGTAGCACAGGAGATTCACCACGTGAATAGAGGTGTCCATATGGGCTATTTCATGTACTGTTTCCTATTAGTCACAAACATACACAAAGCCAAGCTAATGAACCAACTGGGCCCTGCACAAGTCTTCTGTTATTTATCTTTCTAGCTTACAAATAGCCTGTCGACATGGCATCGCTCTGTTTACAAATTAGTAAGGCTTGCAGTGTTCATTTTTGTGACTGCCCTGAACTCCAAAGAAGATGGTAGCTCCATTATACTGTCATTTACTACCCTCCTTCTCTATCATACCCATACAAAAACGTCTTTCCCAGAAATCCTTTGACTTTGCCCTGATTGTATTACCACTGTAAAAAGTTTAAGCTGTAGGTTTTTAGGGCCTGATCTGCAGGTGGAGTTCCACTGTCTTTAAAGGAGCTGATTTTTATGAGTTGATAATTTTTAACCTTAACATTAGCAATATTACCAACGTGTGAGGGTGTGTTCAATAAGACTAACAGTTGGTTTCCTGTTCTTCCAAAAATCCCGGGGTGGAAACCACAATTCACAGGGTGATACGGCACAGAGCTTTGACAACGAAAGCTCCCAGCAGAGGGCATAGCTATCTTATTGATTTGATCATCTCTTTGGAATAACTCAAGCCACACACACACACACGGGTAGCAGAATTTCTCCTGTCCCCGTTATGCTCTTCTGAATCATCTGAACTGCATATAGATTTCTATTTCTGTCAGTCATTTGCTAGCAGCAAAACTAGAATGTTTCTTATTTTTGCTTCTGCTGTAATCAGGATAGTGTTGTCCAAATTAGTGCTGTCCTAATTACTCCTCAGCAGGTGTCAATCCTCGGGATGGGAGAAAGAGAGAAAAAAGAGAAAGAAGAAAGAGAAAGAAAGAGCCTTTATTCACAGACAGCTGTAAAGAAATTCCTTTCCACTGGTTGATAATAAAGGAACGTTATATATAGGTATAGAGACACATGCACACCACACATGTGAATGTATGTGGTGTTAGTAGTAATCCTTGGGTAGCCAATTACAAGATGAAACTTCTGAACAAAATCAGGCAATAAGAAATAATTTCTTAACACTACTGGTGGGAACACGCAAAAGGTTTTTACTATTTTCCTTGTTGCCACCAGCTTCAATTAGCTCTTACATGGTCTTTATGTGGTACTGATATGGCCCACAGAACACCTGGGAATCTTAGTCTTTAGTGTCTTTATCCTCACAACACCTCTGGGAGACAGAGCAGTGCTGCTATCCCAATTTTAGAGTTGGAGGAAGTGAGGCACTTGTCCAAGGTCACAGTTGGTGGCAGAGAAAGGAATTAAATCAGAGTCCCCTGAGGACTCTAACCACTAGCCCATCCTTCTTAGACTAGGTTCTCATTTGGCGGTGCAGTATATGGTTGGACTTCAACACAGAAGATGCTGCTTCTTAAGGCTGAAATCATTTGTGTGTGTAGAGCACTTAATAGATATAGCTTTGAGTAAGAGGTTGGACTAGATGACTTCCTGAGGTCTCTTCCAACCCTAATTTGCCCTGATTCGATGACTAGTACACTTCAGGATCCTTTGGAGAGCATGATGCTAGAGAAATGTAACACATTTTAATATAAAATAAATAAATTCCTGTATATAGCGTGTGCATCTATTATGGCTATGGATTTCAAATCACACCCATGGTAAGTGGACATCCAGCTAACTGAAATCATGCCAGATCAGAGAGGTTCAACCTGTGATCAGACTTCAGATCTACACTTCCTTCATTTTAATCCTCCCCAGGTAGGGCTCATTCTCCTTATTTTATAGCATGATCTGGTTCCCCAGGCGAGGTTGTACCTGTAGGCAGCAATGCAGGTTTCCTTGTAGTCCTGAAGCTTCACACACACCATGTTGAGGAACTGATCGGAGTAAGCACTCAGGTCATGCATCAGGTTCATAAGGTCCTGTACGGTCTTCTCCACAATTACCGTGCTCTGGAAAAGAAGGAACATGGTGACACCATGTTTTCCATGCCACCAATGGAAGAGGATGTGGGGAACCAGCAAGAGACCCAGAGATCATGGAAAGGATGCGTCTGCCCAGCTGGGGAGCCCCTGTGGTACCCCCTTCAACCCCAGCAAGTTGGAAGTTTGCTGCTGCCAGGTTGTGTGTCAATTTCTTGACATACCAAGTCATCTGCCTTGCCAGCAAACTCTTTGGGACTCTCCAGTTCCAACCTTGTCTAGCAGGCAACAGTCAGTGACCCTCAATTCCCATGTTCTGCAGCTGTCCACTTGCAATGCTCAACCCCTCTGACTGGAACACCACAAAACCTTATCAACTTTGCTGCTCCTTTAAAGAGACAGTACACAAGATTCATTTCTTTTTTTCCCTCCCACCCCCTCCACTTCCTCTCCCTCTTCCCCTCTCCTTCCCCCTGTCCCTCTCCACATTTATGTGACATCAAGCATGAGGGATAAGGACGGAAATAGTTAAAAACAAATCAAAGTAAAAACACACTTGTGAGACTTCAGTCTAGCTAAACAAACTAGAGCCCTTTGTTCAAAGTTTTTTTTTGAAACCGGTCTTTCCTTCAGGATGGTGTCTAGAGCTACAACTCTTCTTGTGAAGGATAATTTAGCGATTTGCTCCCCTCCCCCTGATCTTTACAGTCCAATAAACCTTTTATATGTATCCTTCTAAAATATATATCCCTAGATAAAGTTCCTTTCCCCTTCTGGTTGTAGACACCATATTATCCGCTTGTAAAATCGATGCTGGTCCCTCCCTTCCTGGTGATTTTTACAATGAAAATTATCTCTTCCTGAAACCTCCAAAATAAATGAATAGCCCACAGAATTTGGCCATTCCTGGCTGAAATACTGGCCTCTTTGTCTGGGGAAAAAAATTACCCCATGGCTGCCTGCTTTATACACAATTTAGTACATCTATATAGTTCTTTGTGGACTATCCATCCATACATCATGCAAGAAAATTAAGATCAGTGAGTTTTCCAGCGATACGTTATACGCCACCTTTTGGGCAAATATCACAACAGTGTGCCATCTGGTAGTGGAGTAGTCATAAGGTCACAATGATACTGACTAGCAATGGGTTAAGAAGCGTTTGAGCTCCAGGGTACTGCTTTAAATCGAATTGGATTGATACTGGTCTAAATTAAGCATCACACAAAGACCTTTGCTGTACCAAATGAGATGAGGATGCTAATTCCAACTCTTAGCAGGTAACCCCACACACTGTAAAAACTGCCATCAAAATTAGCACTTGCTGGCAGGATTCAGAATTCACATGGACTTTCAATTCTGTGGCTGTGAAGTTGTTAAAAACAAAGGAGGCACAGGTAAAAGAAGACCAAGCATAATCTTAACTCTGAATTTCCTAGATGTCATGATCTGTATTATGGTGCCAACCTTACAGAAGAAACCCACCAAATTCCAGCTATGATTTAAAATACTGAACACTGTGGATTGCTGGGTGATGTTAAGTGGACTGATAAAAGGAAAAGCAGGAACTGTATACAATGGTAGTGTATTGGTCTAATCATCTGGTTTGAAAACCCTCAGTTTTCTAGAGCCAGAGGCCTGAATTCTGGCTGGGATGACTCGGCCGTTAATCTTTCCAAGACTGTTGAACTGACTATCATTCATTTTAGCAGACAAGACTAAATCTCTACGGGCCTAGTTTTCAGAGGTTCCCCCACTGATGTAGCTGGAATTGTGGATGCTCAGCATGTCTATCCACTAGAACGTGACATGACAGATCCCAGGGCACTTTTAAGATTAGGGATTTGGCCCATTGTTTTTGTTCCAAAATTCCTCTTCCTGCTATTGTACAAATTGATGTGTGCTGGGGTACAGCTGCCTTCCACTCAATGCAATGTTCTGCTGTAAAACAGGTGTTGAGAAGTACCATGTGGTTCTTTTGATAGGATACGCTCCATATTAAATATAAACCACAAAAAGGCAAGTTTACTGGTTTAAAATGTTCCGTATCCTGAAGGAGAACAGTCTGACGGAGCAGGGGCCACTGTATGTATAACAACAAATCTCAACTATAGAGAGTCACTGCAGATTTTGGGATTTGTGAGCTCTCTCAAGGTGACAGTGAGATGTTCTTGCATTTGTAACACAGCTTTGTGTATTTAATTTTCAAGTTTACAAACAATAGCGATGGAATGTTACAAAAATCCCGCAATATAGAAAATGAGTTAATAATAGGCTAGCTGGGGGCTTGCCGGATTATTTCTGAGCTATGCACACAGGCAGAAACAGACAGAGAGGCTGAAGCATTTGCCAGTCCTTGTTTGATTTTAGCGCTATCGGGCTAAGTTAATCTCTGGGGAAACTCCATTAACTGCAACAGACTTACATCAGGGACGAATTTAGAGGTCAGTCTTTTGTTTGCAGAGCGCAATCTCACCGAAGCCCAGACCACAGTCTCTGCAATATCCCCACAAGCCCAAATTCCTTTTCTACATTGATTTTCTGATTAAAGACCTGCCACCTCACCTAGCTCCATAATCCTGTTCCTCCATATTTACCTTTGAGTGACAGGAATTGATTCTGTTTTGCTACTTGTCGGTGATCTGATAAAACAATTCAGAAAATCTCACCCCCATTCAGTACCTAGGTTATTCCTTATCCTGTAAAACATGCTCTTTACATGGGGCTTGGCACTGAGCATGCTCCATGGCATGCTCTCGACTAGCGACGTACTAGGATGACAAACATCATTTCATCTCCTCTACTCCCAAACCGAGTCTTTTAAAACAAGCCACAGGAACAAGATACTTTCGAATAGACCCAGCTATATTCAACACTAGAGGTGTCCAAACAAAAATACACCATTTTCAGGCACTCTTTTTGCCTCCCCTCAGGTTCTTTAGTATGGTTATTTATACTACACACTAGATAGCACACCAGCGGCAACCAAAGGTGGATCAGGACCTCAGAGTGAGTAATGATCCATTTTAATCGAGTCACCAGGGCTGGCTTAGAGTGGGTAGGGCCTGGAGCCACCCACGGACTTCCACTCTGGGCAACAGAGCGAGGTAACAAGTCCCCTGTCTGGGGCTGAGCCCTTAACCTTTGCCCCTCTCCCCTACCCACGGCAGAGGAGTTCGGGCTTTGGATGGTTCCCTCAGCTGGGGTCACATAGTAATTTTGGTTGACAGAGGATCACAGGGCCATGAAATTTGAGAACACCTGCAGTCGACGCTCCTTAGTAGCAACATACTCTTAGTAGCTCTTTTGCTATGTTGCTCCTAAGAGGCTGTTACTGTTATGGGGAATGTTGACCATTCACAGGAGGGAACGCGTTCTCCCGGAGAAACGCTGCTCCTCAGTAATGATTGTGATTACAGTCTTGCTGCAAACAAGTGTTCACTGTAATAGCTATTAGTGACCCCAATTATAAAGAAGCCCCATGGTGCTATATAGACAGGAAATAAAAACAGATACTGCCCCAAAGAGCTTACTATCTAAAATAATAATAAACACATTTTAACACTGACTAGCTGTTGGTACAATTGATAGCCCAGCAGTTGCTACAGTAATCCCTGTAACACCACCCGATTTTTGGCTTAGTTGTTACTTCATTCCAGAGTGCTTCAAGGTGTTGAGCATAGTAAGAGGGAATGTACAGAGGTTAATTTAAATAAACCAGCCAAATCTCACTGAAACAGGGATTGTCAATCTAGTACCTTTCATAAAGGCAAAAAAAAAAAATCAATTTAGATGCCGATATTATCAGGAGATGTAAAGTTTAAAAACTATATCCAGGAGACTATATAAGATACATAAATTAGATTAGCTATCCTGAATCTAGAATTTGTCATGGGCAAATCCAGCATCTTGCTTTTGGTCTATGTCTGATATTCAGTGACAGGGGGAAAAATGTACATTACATAAAAGGGAAACGTTTCTTCCTGACTCCTGTGGCAATTTGCAAAGGCCTTGGAGGATGTGTATGATTATTCACCTCCTAGAATGTATAACTGCAAAATGTATCAACATTCATGACATAAAAATTAGCCACCCACTTTAGAACAAAACAGTTACAATAGTCAACGATGGGTCAAATTCTTAGCTGGTGTAAACTGGCACAGCTCAACTGATGTCAATGGAACTATGCTAATTTAAACGACCTCAGGATCTGTCCTTCTGCATGCCCTCCATAAACTGATCAGACATCAAGTGAACAAGTATTTTCTTTCTGTTTAATTTACATTGACCTGTTTGCTTCATGAAATGACGTCTCATTTTCCCTCTATTAGACAACAAAAAGAAATTTAACAATTTGAAAACAAAAACTGTGTATAGTAAGAGCGAGCAAGCACTGATTTTTCATGGCTTCTGACAGCTGACTGCTCCTCTCCACCACCATTAAAAACATGGTTAAGTTTTAAAATACAAATTTGGCAGGGACTGGGTCTTTTGTCTCTGTTGATGCCCTTGGTTACTCACCCTGATTTTAATAAAATGGAGATGTATCATGAAAAAAAACCTTGCATTGGATATGGAATGGCTATTTTTTCTGTAACATTTTAACCTTTGGTGGATGAACCCTAACAAATATGCACTTGTCACAAAGATTACTGTACGTTAATTTGCATTAGTCCATATTAATACAACTGGATGTGTTAGCGGGGACGGCTCAAGATCTTCCATAATTCAATGAGAGAAAATGAAAGGCAATTCACGTACTATTGGAGAGTTGCGATTCAGATGTTGCTAATCCATCTCGAAATGGTAACACCCAGAAAGCTGTTGGGGAACATTTTAACTTGCCTGAGATTTAAAAGTGGCCATTCTCTTGCAGCATAATTTCAGGAACCAACTAGATAGAGAGACTGTGGTACTGGCCTTCATATATAAATTTGACACATTTACCCAGGAACTGAACAAATACATTTAAGAACATAAGAACGGCCATACTGGGTCAGACCAATGGTCCATCTAGCCCAGTATCCCGT